CACAAACACTCCCTTTTCTATTCTCTTTTCTCCTTCACACGTACATGTACACTTGTAACTTCACAAACACTTCCTTTCCTCTCTTCTCCAGGTATACACAGTCTCACAGAGAGTTGGTCCACATCCAAGAGAGTATGAATTCAGAAGTCAATGAAGTCCTTAAAGTAATTCAATCTATTTTAGTCAGGGCCTGAGACTAAATTTTAGTAGGACAAAATCAATAAGGGGGTGGCAATTGCTCTCACCATTGCCATCTACATGTACATGTACATGTACATGTTCTAATGTGTAGAAAGTTTGAGCTGATTCCTATCAAATTTTCCCAAAATCCCTGTTCTATAGTAAATGGTCTTTGGCCAAATTTCATCAAAAATGACTAAAAAAGGATTCTCAATTTTTATAATTTTTCTGATAAATATGCATGTACACGCTCGTTTGTTGTGTGGACAGTTTTAGCTGATACAAATCAAAATTGATTTTTTAAATAAATTTTTAAAGTACATGTACATGTTGCTCTGAAACATATACATGCCATGATTTCAGCAACCATGGGTTGGTGTAATTCATATACAGTTGTACATGTATTATGCTGTATTTTATTATTGTAGAGAATCCAAGAACATGAGCTAGAGAGAGTTAATAAAATTGCAAGATCACTTAAAGAATTTGCCAGGTATATCAACCATTACACTTTTCACTTTGTTTTCTCTATCTCTACTTCTCCCTCCCTCCATCTTTCAATCAATTCCTTTATTTGTATTTCTCTTGTCCCCCTCCCTCTCTCTCACCCTCTCTCTCTCTCCAGGACTCTATCCAATACAGCTCCTGCCTATCTTGAGTGTATGCAGAGGATTGTCTTCAGTATTGATAAAGTGGATGGTTCTACTGATATTGAGTGTTTTGTGATGGAGCATGAGAAACTACTGGAGGAACCACTCATCCCAACACTAGAACTTCACTCTTGCAGTGTGAGTATTAGTTATTGAATTAAGTACACGTAGTTACTACATTGTATGTAGTAAAAAATACTAAGCTACCATGCATGTTCTACATGTACATGTAAGCAATTAAGCATTAAGTAAATGAAGTACAATGTACATGTAGTGCATATGTATTGTATGTAGATCTAGTTACTAAGTAGTGAAAAATGCCAAGCTACATGTACTAAGTATTAGTAAATGTAAGTACATGTAGTCATGTACGTGTATGTGATTAAATACATGTAGTTAGTAAGTGGTTGGTTGTGTTTTTAGTCTCGTTCAAATCGAAAAGCCAAAACTGAGAAGTCGTCTGACGATTTCAAAAATGAGGATGCTGACGACAAGC